GCAAACCAAGAAACAGACTCTTAACTACAGAAAACAAACTCAGGGATCACAGGGGAGGTGGGTGGGGGATGGGTGAAATCAGTGATGGAGATTAAGGAGGGTTCTTGTGATGAGCCCCAGGTGATTAAAATAAAAATTTTAAAAAAATTAAAATTAAAAAATTGAGTATCACTCAAAAGAAAGTAATTTTAATTCCAATGTTGACATACAGTGTTGTATTAGTTTCAGGTGTACTTTTCCTGGTTTCTTAAGGTATCAGTATAAATAATTGAACTGAAAATTGTTTTATAAGCATTTCTTGCTATAAATTGCTCTCTATATAAAACTTCAGCTGCAAACGTTTTGTTGTAGTTTGTTTTTATTTTCTTAATAAGAAAACTTAAATTTCCCTTCTGAGAAAAATAAATAAAATAAAATAAATGTTTGGTAGAATTCACCTGAAGCTTTCTGATCCTGGACTTTTGTTTTTGGGCAGACTTTTTAAATTACTGATTCAATTTCATTACTTGTAGTCAGTCTATTCAGATTTTCCATTTCTTTGTGATTCAATCTTGGAAGATCAGGTGTTCTAGGAATTTATCCATTTTCTTCTAGGTTGTAATTGTTGTTTTTGTTGCTATTTTTTATTCCTGGTAATCTTTGCTCTAAAATCTATTTTGTATGATATTAAATAATAACGCCAGTGATCTTTTGATTGGTGTTTGCATGGCATATCTTCACCATGCTTTTTCTTTAAACCTACTTATATCATTATATTTGAAGTTTCTTACAGATGGCAAATAATTAGGTCAGGAGCGCCTGGGTGGCTCAGTTGGTTAAGCGACTGCCTTCAGCTCAGGTCATGATCCTGGAGTCCTGGGATCGAGTCCCGCAACAGGCTCCCCACTCGGCGAGGAGTCTGCTTCTCCCTCTGAGCCTCCCCCCTCTCATGCTCTGTCTCATTCTTTCTCTCTCAAATAAATAAAATCTTAAAAAAATAATTAGGTCGGGTTTTCTTTTAATCCACTCTCACAATCTGTCTTTTAAATGATGTGCTAAGACCACTTACATTTAATTCAATTACCGTTATGTTTAGATGTAGGTCTATGATTTGTTTGTTCCCTGTTCCCCTCTTTTAAAAAATCCTGTTTCTTCTTTCTTTCCTTTTTTGAGGTGATTATTTTCTTTTTTTGTATTATATCTTTATCCATTACAATTTTGACTACATTGTTTTCTATAATTCTTTTAGCGACTGCCATAGGAATTACAAAATGCATACTTAACTTTCCACAGTCTACTTAGAATCAGTATTTTACCACTTCAGTCAGAATGCAGAAATACTTTCGACATCGAGGTCATTTCACCCCCTCCTATCACAGTTTCTTTATTCCATTTACATACATTAAAAGCTGCATCAGACAATGTTCTAATTTTTTGTTACCAGCATCAAACCTGTTTTGAAGAACCCAAGAAGAGAAGTCTATCACTTTCACCCAGATATTCACTATTCCTGTTCCTCTTCCTTCAGCCCTTGTGTTCCAAGTGTCTCTTCAGCATCCATGTCCCTTCTGTCTGAAGATCTTTACCAATTCTTTTGGAGCAGGTATACCTGGCTACAAATTCTGTTTTTGTTACCTAAGAATTTTTGTTCAGATTCATTCCTGAGAAATACTTTCTCTGAAAACAGATTTCTGGGTTGACAGGTTTTTTTTCTTTCAACGCTTCAGAAATGCTGTGCCACTTTCTTCCAGACTCCATGGTTTCTGATGAGAAATCTGCAGTCATTTGGCTCCCCTCCAGGACCTGCATCATTTTCCGCTGGCTGCTTTCACAATTTTTTATCTTTATTTCTCAGCAGTTTATGATGTGTCCAGGTATGGATTTCTTTGGGTTTATACTTTTTGGGCTTCATTCAGCTCCTTCAATCTATAGGTTTTGTTTTGTTTTGTTTTTAAAGATTTTATTTATTTATTTGACAGAGAGAGACACAGTGAGAGAAGGAACACAAGCAGGGGGAGTGGGAGAGGGAGAAGCAGGCTTCCCGCTGAGCAGGGAGCCCGACGCGGGGCTCGATCCCAGGACGCTGGGATCATGACCTGAGCCGAAGGCAGACGCCCAACGACTGGGCCACCCAGGCGCCCTATAGGTTTGTCTCTCACCAAATTTGGGTAGTTTTCCACATTGTTTCCTCAAATATTCTTTCCGCATTGCACTCTTTCTCTTCTGCTTCTGGGACTGATGACACAAATGTTAGACCTCCATTTCTGTTCCACAGCCCATGAAGCTCTGTTAATTTTTTTCTAAGTTCTGATTAGTTCAGGTATCTTAGTTTTTTTCAGTTTTCGAGTTTCCATGTGTCTCCTCTTTGTATCCCACTTCTTCACAGATACTTTCCACTTTAACATTTGTTTCAAGAACGTTTGTGACTGCTTGTTGAAGCATATTTACAACAGTTTCTTTAAAGTCTCTGTGAGATCATCCCAACATCTATTTTATCTTGCCACTGCCAAGTGTTGGCTGTCCTTTCCCAATGCAAGTTGGCATTTTTATGGTTTTTCATTTGATAAGTATTTGGACTGCACTGGTTGGATCAGACTGGATTGGATTTTGAATATTATGAGACCCTAAGTCTGTTTACATCCTATGGTGACAGGCTGATATTTTTCCTTTAGCAAGCAGTTGACCTACTTAGGTTCAAGCTGAGAGTTACAACTCATCTTCTATGACCTGTGGCTATAACGTCAGTTTTGTTGTCAGTGTCTTTGCAGTTCTAATCTGACCTGAAACATGTGTGTAGCACTCAGGGGCCAGTCTATCCATCACCTCAGTTCTCAGTTTATTATATGCTAATTAGAATCAGATCCATACCCGTACAAGTCAGGGGCGAGCCCAGGAGTTCATCAACAACTTTATGGGGTTGCTTTCCCAAGCTTCCCCTTTTTGCATGATTTCCCTGATCCATGGGACTCCCCTTTCCAACTCCCTAGAGAGAAACCATTCACTTCCACAACTGTGAGGAGCAGAGTCAAGTGGCTGGAGAACAGAAAGTGAAAAAAAAAAGCAATGGGTTTTGGTTCTATAAACTTTGAGCCCTGGCTCCACCCAGCAGAGAAGGGTTCTCCCTTATATCACCATGTTGGCTCCTGTTACTGCTGCTACCCCTCAGAACTGTCTGTGGGCTAGGGCACAAGACAAGGGGGAAGAAAACAGCAAGGGACCCACACCATGCTCTGAGCTTTGGGAGTTCCTTCTTCTTCCTGCTCTGCAAGCCAAAACCAGTGGGTATCTCCTGGAGCTTCCCTGTCTGCATCCAGCACTCACTCCCAGGCTTCACATTGCCCTGAGGCACCAGAGAGAAATGCCAAGCTCACCGCTAGCCCAGGAATCCCTGGAATTTTGGTGCACTTCCCCATCCTCCTGTTGCTACTTACTTCTCAAGTCTCAAAGAGCTGTGCTCTGCCCTGGCTCCGGCATATAGCTAGCTTCAGGAAGTGAAAGGGCTGGTGTTGTGTGCACACTCCATTTACCCAGAACCAAAATCTCTGTCATTTTTTTACTGAGTCAGATAGTGTGTTCATAAAGTTGGACAACTGTGAGGTCCAGACAGTGCTACCTTCCTGCGGAAAGGACCTGAGTGCTTCTGCCTGAGCACACAGCAGGCACCCCAAGGTCACCCTAATGCGGGAACCATGCTGAGGCAGCTCCTCTCTCTGCCTGGCCTGTCACTTTGCCAGCAGGACTCAGCCCCTTTTCTCTGGGCTGGTGAGCTGTCGAAGCTTCAGTGCTCAGCCTCTCAGTCACCCTGCAAGAATGGGAACTGCCCCCAGGGGAACAGAGCCAGCACTGGGCTCCCTTTAATCCTGGTCTCCATCCTACCCTGGACCCTGGCCTGATCTGCGCTGTCCTCAGATGCCCAAATACCTTCAAGCCGACGATCTTTATAATTCATCCAACTTCTCTGATCATCCTCAGTGTTCATCAGAATGAACAGGTCTGCCATCCCTGGAAGTAGCTACCTTTTTTTTTTTTTTTTTTTAAATAAACTGGCTCCAAAAGTTTCCTGAGATCAGTGCACAGATGAGGGAACTACGGCTTACCTTGGGCATGTCCCATGAATCACTGCAGCACACCGAAAATCAGCTTTATTTCTAGAAGGGTCTTTCCCCCCAGTTAACTATGTGTGTATGCATTAAAATCAAGTAGTAGTTGAGCATATTCTTATTTTAAAAACTGAGCCACTGCAGACAATGCTGTTGCCTCCCTGATCCTTCGGCCAGGCTGGGCCAGACCCTTTATCTGAGGTCACCAGCTCTCTGTTATTGGCTCCGCTGGGATTTCGTTATTAGGCTGACCTTTTCCCCAGAGGAACAAACCTCCAAAAGTGTGATGGAAGTCACTGGGAGCATGGGATACGAAATGAAAAATGATTTACAAATATTTTTCACAAATGTGCCACAAAGTTAGGTCAAGTTACATAATTGGCAACTTTTTCCTGCCAGCTTCCAGGGAACTAAACCTAAAATCTGTCCAAGTGACTATGTGCAGCCTCCCAAGGGACCAAAGAACCAGGATTTAAGCGACAGCCCCAAGGGCTGGCATCTGTCCACACGGGAGCACATCTCCTTGGGGGCAGCCTAAGATCAGAGTTTTAGCACGGAAAGGGACTTTCCCACCCTACCCCCAGAACAGGCAGTGCCAGGAGGAGCATGTCCCTGCAGGTGGGTCACACAGAGCGAAGGAGTGAGAGGTGGGAGCCACGCGCCCACACTGGTACCAGAGCAAGGGCAGAGAGACCCCAGTACACTCCTGAGCAGCCGGGCTGTGTCACCTGCACCATGAAGGTAAGGACTGGCTCAAGGCTGAGTGCCACCTTGACTGGGCTCATTAGGAGGAAAACCAGGCTAGGGGTGCAGACATGATGTGCTCCCAGGTTACTCTGGGCTGCAGGGTGACTGTGCTGGGAGAGCCAGCACACGCCAAGTTCCCAGGGAGAAGGGCTTGGAACTTCCAGCTGCTCCTACCTTGGCTGGCCTCTGGCTGCACAGAGCTTGGAGGAAGTGGGGGCGAAGATTCAGGGGCCTCCACCGCTGGGTGCTCAGCCACTGGACAGATGATGAACCACCGCTTCCCTGTGTGCAGGACTATGGAGCAGGGCAAAAGCAGCAGGAGAGACCAAGTGAATTTCTCCCATGGCCAACAGGACCCCCCCCCCCCACCATTGGCCCCAGACCTGCACTGGGGAACTCACACCGGTGGGGGGGCATGTGCAGCCCAGTCAGGGGGCTACTGGCAGCCGGGGGCTCACACAACACTGCCAAACACAGGCTTAGCTCCTGGGATGCCTGCAGTGCCGTCAGCGAAGGGTAATGCCAGCCGGGGCCACAGGAGGCAGCGGTAAGTCCGCACCACACTCAGTCCCCACGAGCGCCAGGCCCAGCTCCTCAGGTCAGCCCTGCCCACACCACGCACTGCAGCAACCACCCCCACTGTGGTGATGACTAAACCCCCTTACGATATGCTCAATGGGGTCTGATCAAATGCCCACTAAAATACAGAAAAAGAATGGGGATGGAAATGCCTCCTCCAAAGATGTGTCTGGCTGGCAGATGGGGCCCAAAAGGCAGACGTACCGTTCTGCTGATATACAGGGGCATTTGCCTGGGACTGGTGACTCTCCTGGTGGAGGTAAAGGGTCAGAAATGAGCAGACCACACAGAAGAAGGACGTCCTGCAGAGCAACAGTGTGACCTCAAAACATCCAAGGGGCCTCTGGAGCTCTGACATTTCCCACTGAAGTGAAGGTACCCACCCTCCCGGCCACCTCACCCAACACTGCGTGACTCACAGGCACCTCGGGCAGGCCTCGTGTGCACAAAGCCTAGGTCTAAGGCATCAGCAAGCCCTGGCCCTCCCAGGACCCCACACCCGGGACTCACCTCCCTGGTGCCCAGGCCGCAGGTGCTGAGGTGCGGTGGGCTCGTCCCAGGGTCAGAGCCACGGTCGATGTCTGTGTCCTCACTGAGCATGTCCTCTGCCTTGTCCATGACGTCTTTCATCTGTTCGATGAACGTCTCCCGCTCAGCCTGCAGGATGAAATCGTGCTCCACCTGCAACAGCACAGGGAACGCTGCTGGGGGCGCCACGGGGGTGGGTGTGCCGGGTCTTCCCTGGTGGATCTATTTCACTTCCACTCTGCACTCAGCCCGAGAGGGGAGCCCCAGCCAGGGGGCTGGCTCCACAAGAGAGGCAGCCCTCGAGGAGATGGGCCAGCACTGCCTGGGGCGGGCAGCCACCTACAGAGGCCAGGGGCCCCCCGGACAGGAGACGGCCTTACCGGCCCGTGGAAAGCGCCCGGCCTCACCATGTAGGTGGCAATCTCATCGGGCGCGTCCCCATCCAGGTCGAACTTGAATGTCACCATTTTGTGGTTGTGTGTCTCTAGCTGGCACTCCACCATCTTGTCGCCCGTGTTGCACACCTATGGGACACTCAGGTGGTGAGGCTGGGAGCAGGCCGCGTCCGGGGAGCCCTGTGCCACCGGCCCGCCCTGCCTGGCCACTCACGTTCAGGATGGTCAGCCGGGGGCGGCTGGCTCTCTCCTGGCGGGAGCGCGCACGTGTCGACCGGCGGTGATGTTTCCGGGTGGCCCTGCCTTCCAGCCGCCCCCCGCCGAACGCCCCCTCACAGCTGTCGCTCGTCTCTCTGCCGGAGGGGACATCGGACCCTCCGTAGCTGTGTGGAAACCAAGAGCGTGACGGCAACCTGCAGACCAGCCTCACAAAGGAAGCTTGGATTTTCAGGAATAGCCAGAAAACCTGGAGGGCCTGAAGCCAGCCTTGACCCCACCTTCAGGGCCCCCAGCCCCTTCTGCTGCCGTTCTGTCTCAGGTAGCACTGGCGTCGTGGGGAATGGGTGGGCTCTCTGACCCGGGACCTCTGTCCTCTCTGACTCTTGACCTGTGACTCAGGCCTCACGGGCTTGCAGAAAGTGACAGGATTAAGAAAATCCTCCCCTGTGCCTCAGTTTCCCCATCTGTGTAACAGCAATGAGAGCTCGACAACCCCCTGGGACTACTGCCTGGCCACACGGCCACTGCCTGCATCCAATCCCTCCCCAACCGTGACATGTTCTGTGACAACAGGTGGTCAGGAGCCATGGTGCCGGGGGGCCTGGGAGGGGGCCAGACTCTGCCCTGCCCTCCCAGCCTCTGGCAGCCCCCAGGCCTGCTGACTCTTTGTCCACTGCCTCTCCCTTCTAGAACATCCCAGGCACCACGGACAGGCACTAGGCTCAGGACACGGACAGGAGCACGAGACAGCCAGAGCCCAGAGGATCAAGTCGGGCTTGGAAACGGGTGACACCGCTAGAAGCCCTGACTCGTGAGGGGAAGGTGCGGTGGGCATCAGTGTGAAGCGCAGCGGGTGGGCTGAGCACAGGGTGAGCCCATGGCCGCCCCACCATCCCCAGGAGCCAACGGGGCCGTTACCTCTCGCAGCTCTGCGGGGGGCCGGGCTGCTTGTCCTGGGAGGCCTGCTCCTGAAACAAAACCGCAGACAAGAGGACGGGTCACGGTGGCACCGCCGCACGCAGCCTGCTGTCGCCCCACCGCCCCGGCCCGGAGAGCCGACCACGTGAGGCCGGTATGAGGGTTTTTATCTTGTGGAGTTCCTAAAGGCAGGGGCCCCTCCTTGGCCAACATGCTAACCCACTTTGATTTTCCCCACTGGCGAGCACATGGGCCCAGGAAGGCTTGCCCCTGGCCTTCCCACCACCCCCGAGGGAAGGCCCCGCAATCCACGTGTAAACACCACGCTCTCCAGAGGCATGCATTCGAGGAAAGCCTGACATTCAGGGCCAGTGGAGGACAGTTAGAACGGTGGGCCCAGGGCACACACTTCCATCTTCCCGAGCACATCGTGACTTCCAGAGCCGAGACCTGACATCACTGCACAGGGGGCCGCCGGGGTCAGGGATCAGGGGCTGAGCCCGAGGGCAGGGGCACACACCTCTGGGGCCGGCTCCACCGTCAGCCGCACGGCCGGGCAGGGGCTGGTAATCCCGGGCCCAGAGGGCGGCAGTGGGCGGGTAGCAGGCGGCAGGAGTGGGGCGGTCTGGATGGGCAGGCTCTGAGAAGCGGCTACCACTGCAGGGGCCAAGGAGCTGGGGAGCTGAGGCAGCTCGGGGACAGCGGGCGGCAACGCCTCCGGCAGAGGTGGGGAGAGGATGGTGGCTGGCGCAGGCGCCACGGGGACCTGGGCGGTGACATCTGCAGCATATGGAGGCGGGTGGCCAAGCAGGATCTGGGGGGACAGGGATTCAAGTCGGAGGACTGGCCACAGCTCTGCCAAGGGCCCTGGACCAAGGCAGGCGAGCACACCCACAGTCCCTCTCCAATCCACCCACGGCCTCAGAGTGCGTTAGCACCAGATTCAGCAAAAACTCTCGGGTCCCTGTTTGTGTACAGTCGAACCTAAAACCACACTTCGTTTACAAACCCATAGCTGAGTCCAGCTGAAGCTCCATGAAACTACATGTGGCATGTGGTTAGCACCAAACACAGCCCCCCACTGCCACCCGAGGGGTCTGACCCACACGCTGCCCCCTTTCCCAGCCTGTCAGCCACACGCAAGAGGGACCCGGGGAGCTTGGCCTTCAGTGGGCTGGACTCCTGACGGTCTCCTCTGTGAAAGCTCCTGGTGGGACGGTTGAGACAGACAGAAGGAGAGCCCCCGTGTAGACAAGCGGGAGCCTCCATCCCACCTACCTCCGGGATGAGGTCAGCAACGGGCAGGCCCGCTGCTGGCCCTTCCGGTGTGGGACAGATCAGCAACATGGTGCGTGGGGTCAGATACGGAAGCCGCAGCCCGGCGGCCCCATTTTCTCCTAGAAGAACCCCAGCTGCTGTGTTCAGGGGAGTCCGCTCTCAACACAGGGAAGCCCGTGAGGCGGCCAGCCCAACCAGCAGGGCCTGTGACCCTCGTCCCATCACTGTCAGGATGGCAAGCAGCCTGAGGTCCCCACCTGACCCCGGACATCGTCCTTGTCTGCTGTGTGCCCCTCAGAGCCCTGTCTGCCTCACTGCCTGGCTGCTGAGGTGGGGGTGAGCCCACGCTGGGGCTGACACCACCATGCAGAGGCTGCCAGACCCCGCCCAAGGGAGGGCAGGTGCCCTGACACCCAGCATGGCCAGGCACCACCCCACCACCACAAGCAGCTGCAACTGACCCTCGGAAGGGCCCGGTGGTGGAACCACAGTCACCCCAATTCCGCAGCTCTGGAGGAGGTGGACATCCTACACGCTAAAGAGAAGCCACAGTCAAGGAACAGGCCTGCTCTCCCATCCCCCGCTCTGTCCCCAGGTCAAGGTACCGAGGAGCAGAGACCAGAATTAGATGCTAAGACATCTCCCAGCACCTGGAGGGTGCGGCCCTGCGCGGCAGGTGGCTTACCTGGCTTCCCGCCCCGCCTGCCGGAGCAGCCTGCTCAGGAAGGCGCGCAATGCTTGGCTGGTGGGGCTGCGGCAGGGTGGGGGGCACCGGCTGTGCAGGGGCAGCCCGCACATTCTGCGCCACGTGGAGGGGAGAGGGTGGGATGTCGCTGGGCACCATCTGCGGGAAGGTTGCCGGGTACACAGGCTGGGCCGGGAGCTGGGCCACAGCAGCAGGGTGAATGGACAGGGCGGCCACACCCTGCGGGGCCACGGCCAGCAGAGGGATGGCGGTGGCAGCGGCAGCCACGTTTGGCACAATGGTCCGGCAGGGCACAGCCAACGGCGCCCCAGCGGGGTGGGGCAGCTTGACCGCCTGCAGAGGCAGGGCCGGTGATGCGGGCAGGGGGGCGGCAGCGGCGCTGAGCGGGAGGCTCGGCAAGATGACGGTGGGAGAGAAATACTGAGAGGGGGCAGGCACGGCGGGCCCGCTGGCGGCCGGCAGGTCGGGGAGAGCTGCGGGGAGGCCGTCGATGGGGGCCAGGGGTGCGATGGGGGGCCCCACAGGAAGCGGAGGCACCTGAAAGAGAAGGGTGCGCATCGGCGTCACCAGGCCTCTGCCCCGCCCGCCGCACACCCGCACCGCCAGGAGGAACTCGACCGGGAACCCAGGTCAAACGGGACCTCGGAGCGCGTCCCCTGGTGCCGCGGAAGGGCCACGCCGCGGTCCGCCCTGCAGGGATGGGCAGCTGCAAGGACAGCGGAGGGCTCAGGTCTGGGTCTTGGCAGTGCCCACCAGCTCTGTGGCTCGGGCCCATCTTCGGAGAGCCAGGACCGTCAGAGCCACCAGACCGGCCCTGAAGATCTGAACACACTCACACAGAGAGACCACATTCTGTGGCGGGCTGTGTCAGGGAAAGCATGTCCTTGAGCGCCCACATGCTGAGGCAGCGCCCCTGTGCTGTGGGGCCTGGGGAGCGGGCCTCTCCTGACAGCAGAGCTCTGGAACCTTCCGTGTCTGGTCTTCCATCCTGGAGACACCTGGTATCTGACCTCCTGGAGTGAGCACTTGCAACATTTTAGATGCTCCAGTAGTTCTGTCTCTAAACCTTTCTGGTGCGGGGCGCCTGGGGGGCTCAGTCGGTGAAGCGTCTGCCTTCGGCTCAGGTCGTGATCCCAGAGTCCTGGGATCGAGTCCCACATCAGGCTCCCTGCTCAGCGGGGAGTTGGCTTCTCCCTCTGACTCTCCCACAACTTGTGCTCTCTCTCAAATAAAAACTTTTTAAAAAAATAAAATAAATAAACCTTTCTGGTGGCCGGCACACAAGCTCCATCACGTGATATGCGCCTCTGTGCAATTAGAAAGCAGCTACCATACGCGAGCCAACTTCTGCGCACTGGAGAGCAAACGGCCATTCAACTAGACGGTGAAAACAACCTGATGTGGCTGTGATGGGGACGAGGCCCAGTGACAAAAAGAAAGTTCCGGATGGTGCCCGCAAACTGCAGGGACACTCACATCTTCAAACGAGGCAGCACGTCGTGGCCCAGTCCCACTGCCACGATGTGATGGACCCATGAGATGAAAGCCGTGGATGGCACCACACGCCATCCAGAGTCACGGAACACTCGAAGCCGTGGACGCCCCAGGACCACGGTCAGCACAGCCTGGGTGGCTCCATGATGGACAGTGGCCATAGCATTGTGCTCTGCCCTGGCTCCTCTGGCCCTGACCCTGGACCAAAGCTTTCCCTGACCTGGATGGACATGCTTGGGAAAGATGCCAAGGGCAGGTGGGCACAGCCACCTATCCACAGGGAACGCTCCCGACCTGTGGACCCACGAGCACTCGCAGCCCGGAGGACGGAGTGGCCAGCCAGACTGGGGATGCGGGCGAGGCGGGGGCAGGGCGGGAGCTACCTGGGCAGGCACTTGAGAGAGTGGCTGCAGATGTGCTGGTGGCATCTGGAGGGGCTTCAACTGAGCAGGGGCCACCACCTGGGACGTCGGAGCTAGGTAGGGAGGCAGATGGGGGGGCACCGGCTGGAGAGGGCCCACGGATGGTGCGGCCAGGACAGGTGGCAGGGGCGCTGGCTGGGCCAGCGGAGGAGGCTGGGGAGAGAGGGGGCTTCTCTTAGACCAACGTCCTGCTGAGACACCCCCCACCACGTGCTTAGACACAACCGAGAAAATCGACTCCCACACACACATGCACACACGCACACCCAGCCTGGAGCCCGAGACACGGCGATCTGGGGGAAACACTCCATGTAAGCGGTGCCCTTCCAACTGCTATGGATCCAGGAACCCCCACTCCCATCTGCACCCCAGGCCCTGGGGAACCGCAGAGAAGGAGTGAAGGGGGCCCGGGCCCACCTGAGGCCCACAGGCCCTGGGCCAGCAGACCTTGCCGCCCACCCACACTGGGCAGGAAAGACTGAGGCACCCATGGATGGGGCCAAGCAGGGGCAGCCCACACTCACCTGATGGCCGGGGGGCGCAGGCTGGCCTGGGCCTGTCGGCACGGGGGCAAAGCTTATGGCCGGCTCTGGGAAATGCTGCTGTGGGAGCGGAGGGTGGGCTGGGGGCGGGATGGAGCCCACCGGCACGCCAGGCTGCAGAGAGCACGGATGACCACGCTCACCAGCTGCCCGAAGGCCCCCCACCTGGCTTGCGTGCCACAGCTGCTGGGCCCCGTCCCTCACTCCCTGAGCTTATCACCCTAGCTGGAACTTTTCCCTAAGCCCAAAGCTTGGCACAGCTGAGATGTGGCAGCCCCTAAACTGAGAATAGCCACTACTCCTAGTCAAGGAATGTTCTGGAACTTCAGCTCCATGGGATGTTATGCAATCGTGCGAAAAGAACGTCCTAAGGGGCTTCGCAGAACCAGGGAGAGACACTGGTTCCAACTTGTGGTGGGAGAAAGATACAAATGCACTTGCTTTCCGTCTATAGGACCGGATGAAACACACGCACATAGATACATCACAAACGGGATTCGGAAGGTTGTGAACAATGGGGGACGGCGGCGGGATCCCCAGGGGTGTGGCCACCAAGAGAAACAGGCCGTGGTCACCGCCAGCAGCAGCCCAGACACGGCCCAGGAAAGAGTCCGAAATCTGAGCACTGGGTGTTGGATACTATTAAGAAACAGCTGCTACCGTGTTCACTTTTAGGTGTAATAAGGTGGTCAGGGTCTGTTCTCAAGAATCCCGATCCCGCAGAGATACGGGCTGAAATCTTTACAGGCAAAACATCTTTCTGGGGTTTCCTTGGAAATCCTGGGGCTGTGGAGGAAGCAGGTGTGAACACAGGGAGAGCGTCTGAGGCGGAGGGCCCAGGCCTCCACACCAACCCGAAAGGTCCTCTGGTTTTCTGGGGGCTGGGACCTTCCACTTGCTTCATCCTCCACAGTAAATGCTCCGCGAGAGCAGCATAGGGAGGGACGTTTATCTAAGGCCATGGTGCAGAATGAGCTGCGGCCCCAGGCCCAGCGGGAGGCAGCAGCTTCGGTGCCCGGAGGCCTCAGAGTGGCTGGTGCACAGACTCCTCCATCAGCCCCGGGGGGGGGGGGGGGGGCAGACATCACCAGGGCAACCCCCCCGGAGGTCCTGATGCACCCCGGGGACCCCCACACCCCCCCCGTCTGTCCCAGGGGATTGTCCGCAAACAGGCAGGGACAGGGGACAGAGTGCTCTGGCCTCGCCCGTGTGGGGGGTGCGTCTGGCCCAGCGCCATGAGGGCCTAGGCGGAGGGTAACGGTGGCCAGGGAAGCCCGACCCTGTGCCTAGGAGGAAGGGGGCCAGCAGAACGTTCCTGCTCCGCCCCAGGACCAGCCACCCGAGGCCAAGCCACCCCACTCCGAGGCGACAATCTGCCTTTTCCTAAACAAGTTCCTCCCGCCGTTTAAGATCTATTTCACTTCATCTCAAGAAACTAGCAAAGCGACATGTCCAGCAGCTGGACATGAGTCTGGGCTCCCAGCAGCGGAGGCAAAGGTGCCGGCTGCTCTTTCATGGGGACTTTCCCAGCCCTAGGGGACGGGGACAGAGCTCAGGCAGCGCCAGGATGGCAGGGCCCTGGGGGCCCAACTGTCCCTCCGGACCCTCCCCTGCGCACTCAAGGCCAGTGCTCTGCAACTGGCCTCCTGGGACTGGGAAGCCTGGGCTCTATCTGCTTCCTCCAGCATGAACACAAGCACTGAAGAACGAACACCGCACGTGACCCCCTGGCCTAGCGACGCCCGGGTCACCGTCGGGCCAGGTCTCCACATCACAAACCACCCCGCAGGTTTCTCCAACGTCACGGCACTCTTTCCGCGACCCTGCCACTCTCCTACTTCGAACATTCAATGGCCGCGTGGTATCTGGTGGAGAACGGCCAGGAGCTACTGAACTCAGCGGGGTGGACACGGGCTGGACGCTCCTCTGTGGCCCCAGCCTGGCCGCAGGGCGAGACCCTGCCAGGTCCGTCACAGTTCTGAGGCCACAGCTGTCCTTGGGCTCTGCATTCGTACTCTCTCACCTGCTGCAGCCTGCAGTGACCTTTGAGGACGGCCTGCCCGGGGGCCTGACAACAGGCCGCTGCAGCCTGGACGGCCCGGGGGACACAGGGCCATGGGGGCGGGGTCTCTGCCCGAGGGGGCGGGCTGACTCACCGCGGCGGGCTGCTGGTAGGTCCCCAGAGAGGGCAGGCTGTAGGGCAGGACCGGGCCGTCGCTGACACTCACGCTCACCGGGGGGCTGCACACACACTGGGTGGGGGGCGGTGCTGCATCCGCCAGCGAGCCCAGCACCACACTCTGCTGGCTGCTTTGTGAGTCCGAGTACACCGTGGAGCCCTGGCCACTGTCGAAGGTGCTGTCCGCTGGGGAGGACAAGGGCACGGCTCAGAGTGGATACCCCCAGACATCAGCCCCACGGCACTCCACTCTCGTCTCAGGGAGCACGAATACACTCAGACACAATGCTCTGCTGGTCCCTGCGCTCTTCTGCAAACTAAGGCTTGGTCACATTCCCTGGTCACCTGAGTCCTAAGTGCATGTCGTTCTGGACCACTGACCCTAGGATGCAGGGGGTGGGGGCTGTAACCCACCCGGAGACACCCTGGCACCCCACCCCAACACCACCTGGCGTCTGGGGGGTCACCCACATGGGTGCCACGAATCCCAGGTGGGCCCCTTACACAATCCTCAGCAGGAAGCACAGCCACGTCCACCCCGGCTGCAGACAGGGACCTCACCTGTCCCCTGACCAGGCCTTGAGAGTGAGAGCTCAGTGAGCTCTTCGAAGGTGCGAGGGGTCTCCTGTAGGAAGCTGACGGCAGGTATGCCCAAGTCAGGAGAAGCTAGGGTCACCTGTATTTCATGGGGAGGGACTCTGACTAGTTTCACCACCACAGCAAAGAGCCCGAAGCAGGAAGAGCTGGGTCCAAACCCAGTCCTTACGTCAACGGGCCCGGGTCTAACCTGGCTGGAGAATGGGGCTGACGAGGCCCCCACCCCGCAGAGAGGCTGACAGGGGGACCCAGAAGCTCTCCGGCCCGAGGCGGCCTTCCAGAGGCCAGCCTCCCCTGCACCTGCGGTCACAGTCCATCAACGCGGGCTACCGTGGACAGAGCCACCCACACACGAGGCACAGCCCGTGGCCACAGGCTCGCCTCCCCAAGACGCACCTAGGAAGACAAACTGCCCCCAAGGCCAGGCCAGCGAGCAGGGAAGGCAAAACCCTGCATGAAATGGCACTTCCAGAAGCTGCACGCACACCGACTTGCCACCCACGCACTGAGCACTTCAAGGCGGGCGCCTTCCAGGGCGCCAGCATCGCGTCCATTTGTGATTCAAGCAAATGGAGTAAAAGGGAATCCTGCTGGCTTTACATCAAAATAATCTGTCCCAGGGGCTGATCTGGGCATATTACAACCTGGGAAGACACGCGAATGCCAAGGTCTCATTGCACAGAACCAACCCAACCAGCGGCTCCGACTTACAGCGAGGAAGCTGGCAGTTGATTTCACCTACACACAAAGACAGAGAGAGAGAGACAGACAGACACACAGAGAAAGAGAGAGACAGATATGCAGAGACACACAGAGACAGAAATACAAAGAGAGACAGAGACACAGACAGAAACAGACACACACAGACATGTAGACAGACACACACACACACAGAGAAACACACAGAGACAGACACAGAGACACAGAGGGAAACACAGAAACAAACTGTATGTGTGAGCAAAAGAGAAATGCGTACAAACTTGGCAGATGTCACATAAACCAACTCTAACCATACACACAGCACTGTAAATTTTTAAAGGTAATGTGTTTGTTATTTCTATAATTAAAAATTAATTTAGGGGCGCCTGAGTGGCTCAGTAATTAAGCGTCTGCCTTCAGCTCAGGTCATGATCCCAGGGTCCTGGGATCGAGTCCCATATTGGGCTCCCTGCTCGGCAGGAAGTCTGCTTCTCCTTCTTCCACTCCCCCTGCTTGTGTTCCTGCTCTCATGCTCTCTCTCTGTCAAATAAATAAATAAAATCTTTGAAAAAAAAATTAAAAAAATAATAATTTAAAAATCGTCTTTAGGGGCACCTGGTGGCTCAGTCAGTTGAGCATCTAGCTCTTGGTTTTGGCTCAGGTCATGATCTCAGGGTCGTGGGTGTCTGGCTCTTCACTCAGTGGGGAGCTGCTTGGGATTTTTCTCCCTCTCCCTCTGCCCCTACCCCTGCCCAGACATGCACACTTTCTAAAAATAAATTTAAAAAACAAAAAATTGAAAAATTAAAAAATCATCTCTAAACCTACTGCAGTCGCTCAGAGCTGGCCCACACCCTCTCGCTGAGCCTGATGTAGGCTGAGGTGGGTAGCTCTCACACCGCATGGTGGAGAATCCTACCACGCTGTTCACCGTACCTTCTGTTGTGCGCATGTCTGCCCGCCCATCGGGTCCCTTCCCCAGTGATGTGTGCGCAGCCTGGAGTCCCATCATTTCACCTTTACAAGGCGCAGAATTTTCAGGGCATCCACACACACTGAGGCCGAAGGGACAGCAGAGCACGGGCCTTGTGTTCGGACCAGAGCACAGCGCACACGCGTGTGGATGTGTGAGTGATCAGACGTGCACCTTACCTTCGGAAGTTACCACTAAGAGACAGGTAACGTCAGTGGCCGCTGGGGAGGAGCACTAATCGGCCTTTCCTGCACACCCTCCTGCACTGTTTGAATTTTACACAACGTCTACTTTACAGAAAGCACCACAAACAAGTGAAACGTTTTGAGAGTGTGGCTGCCGTCGAAGCGAGAGAGCTGCTCCAAGTCGACAGGAAGAGAACGTTTGCAACAGACCGCCCACCCACACTGATCTCGCCTGCGGTCCCCGTCTGTACGGTGGGCCAGGCCAGTGCCAGGACACCCCCGACCACAGCAGAGCGTGGTGGTCTCTCCGTTCCCGCCTGGAAACTGTCCCACCGACAGTCAAGTTTGTAAAGTGGGAAGCGGCGTGTCATGAGGAAAGCTTTTTCCAACACAAAGTGTATGCTCATTAATTAATTTTTTGGTTTGTCAAAAAATGGAGCGACGATGTAGTGACTTTATTCTCTGAGGCAAACCTGAGCAGGTCGGAAGGAAGCCAACGGCAAGCAAACGGTCTCCAAGTGACAGGCAGCTACTGGTTTGAATTTAAATAGCCTACTTTGAAGAACGTTAGCTATAATTTTAATGATAAATGAAGTATGTGCCTATTAAATAAATTGAACAGGCTATTTTGGTCTTTCGACACGAGCAACCTGAAAAAGCAGCCTGCGCAGGCTAAGTTCTACTTGGCACTTATTCACAGGATGGACGGGAAACGCCACGTCCTGATCCTCAGCTCACAGCTGCATTTTTAGGCCACCGAGGGCAAAGGTCAGGACACCGTTCTGCCTGGACGTGCAGAAAACGCTGGATCCTCTCTCCCACTATTCTGAGATTCAGAGTGATTCCCAGCAACCCATCGCTGACACTCTGGGAAATGTGGTAAAGGTTTCAAAGGTTAGGCACTACAAGGGACATGATCTTGGGGACAGATAATCCCAATGGCAATGGTCATGGCTCAGAGCATCATGACTGCTGGAGACCACAGCCATCTGTGGCCCCAGGGCAATGGTGTGCCAGCAGAGACACCCCCACCAGGCACAGGACTGACATCCTCTGCACGGAACAAGGAGCCGGACGGAGCCACTCCAACCTGTTGGCTCGGGGCACGGGAGGCTCTGAATCTGTCTGCCCGTTTGTCCCCACCTGTCCTGAGAAGGTGGGCTGCGGGGAGCCAAAGACACCCCAATGCCGGCCCCCGGAAGAAGGCTCGCCTACACCTGCAGTCCACGCCTGCAGCGTGCACAGGGCTTGAGGGTGCGGGGAGGGCGGCACTCACAGGCCAGGGAGGTGGCGCTGGCCGGCAGTGCGGTGGGGAGGAGGTGCTGGTCTGCCTCAGGTTCCTCAGGCTCCGGCGGCCCGGCCTGCGCATGATAGGTCACCTGGACCTGCAGGGGTGCAGGTGGGCCCCTGGCCTTGTCGGGGCTGCCTGGGTCCCGTTGTTCCGGGGGCTGCAGAGCCGGCCAGATCCTCTCTCGCCGCCACTGGATCAATGCTACACGGTCGCGGATGGACTTGGCCACAATCTTCACGTCACTCTCGTGGAAGAATCCCGACTCAATCTGCAAAGGGAGACGTCATGTCGTTACCGGGGCCCTGCCGTCTGCACCACCACCTCCCGCTCACGGTGTCTCTGCAGAGGTCCCTCCTCAGGCCCTCACCCCATCTCTCAGAGATGCTCTCATCTTCCCATTAGGAAATACCCTCCCGCCAATGGTAAATCTGCAGGAAGCACGGCCCTCTGAGCCTGCACAGCCCTGCTCCTGGGACAGTGAGGACATGGCAGGTGCTTGTGCCTGCCCGGGGAGGGGAAGCGAGAGACCCGCAGCATTCCCCGAGAAGGCACGGACGGAACAAGGTGCACCCTGTATCTTGAGGCCAGGATGGTAGGCACCCATGCCCAGAACACTCTGAACCCAGGTGAGCATCGGGAGAGCGTGTGGGAAGGAGCCCTGGACCTCCGGGAAACGTCACGGCTCTCCCTGAGGAAATCTCTGGTAAAACCATGGAACAGCAGAGGCCAGTCTCCACACTGACACCATGGCAGCCCCGTGTGGGAAGGGAGAAAGCGCAAAGGTTTTGCCACTGGTCAGGAACTGTGAGCTTGTGGCTTTCAACACACAGTAGACAGCAGCACACCCAGATGCAGACGTGAGCGTGTGGCAGGGCACGGGTACAAGCCTGCAGAACACTGGGCAGGCCTGGGGAGGCGCCCGGAGTCTGGCCAGTGTGAGTGGGCGGGGAGAAGGAAAAGGGGCCTAGACACCTCGCTGTGCCTGAAAGCAAGGCAGACCCAGAGAACTGAGGGGATGTTCAGAAGGACACAGGCCACAGACCACGGGCCAAACGTGGACATTCTGGGCATCAAAATGCACAGTGACACCATGATGATCTGAGGAGTGTGTACACAAGTGCACACAAGGGGGACACAGCTATCACGGCTGGTGTGAGGCCACATGGGATGCCACGGTGTGCCATCTCTGTGCATCCCCGCACACACACCCCCCCCATGCATGGATCACTCTTCACGGGAAGCTGAATCATGAGTGGCCTGAAGAACAACCCACTGGCTAAATATCGAGTCTCCTGCCAGGAGCCAGGTGAGCAGGCATGGACGCCGAATGACCCTCAGACCTGGTCAGCCCCAGCCAACACCCCAGCCACACGGCGTGGGGAACCCAGAACCAGAAAGACCCACTTAGCCACTCCCAGATCCCTGACCAGGAGAACGTGTGAGACCATAGGCCTGTACAGCACTGCGTTTGTGGTGACGTACCTTGTGGTCATAGGTAACTCACCAACAAAACCACAGTCCACAGAGCTATAAGTAAACGGAAAGTTTGGTGAAAATGGGTATTTACCCAGTTCCAAGATACACCCCATGACATAGTCATTAATTGTCACTCCACACAGAGACCGTGGGCAGACACCCCTCGCCCGTGTGCTCTTGGGGAGTGTCGTCCAGGGGCTGGCCACAGTGAGGACACAGCCCCACACCAAGTGCTCCCACAGACACGCTGACATGACCCCGACAGTGCCCTTCATGGCAGGATGACCAAAGGTGGGCCCACCCAGAGGAGCGCCTGCCTTGACGGAGTCACCACACATCACAGGGCGCCTGGCAGGCCTGAAGCGGTTCTCCCGGTTCTGACCGCAGAGGTAGCTGAACAGGAAAGCTACCGTCTGTGGGCAAAGATGCGGACATATTCGAGGGGGCAGGGCCTCGGCCTGGATGTCATCTCAAACGGCTCTTTGTTGCACATTTGCAACTTTTCCATAAGTTCCTGACTGATTAGTTCAAAATCTCTCCACCCCGCTGGACAGAAAGACCCGTGTTAAAATCCCGCAGAGCTCTCGGCAGTCGGCCTCCCACCGGCCTCGGGCAGGGGCGGCAGCGGTGTGAGCGGCGGCACACGGCCAGGACGCGGGCAAGGGGCCGGGGCTGAGGTCAGGGCCGCCTGCCCACCGGGCCCAGCCGGAGACCGCTGACAGGAAGGCGCCCCGCAGACACGCCTGCCCGCTGCTGCTATTTTCTGCCCACGGCCCAGTTTTCCTTCCGTCTCTGTCCTCACGGTCACACACCCCGCCGCCCCCCCCCGCGATCCTCTCCAAGGTGTTTCTTCTATTTTTTCCCAAACAGGGAGAACTTAGCCCCATTCTCCGCCATGCTGAAGCGTCGGACCCAGAGGCCTCGAAGGCAGGAGGGGCTGGTGCGCCGACATGGGGACCCTGGGCTGAGTTGCGAGCCCCTCTCCCGGGGTCCTCACGAGGTCACGTCCAGGTCAAAGCCAGCCCAGGTCCCCACAGAACTCGCCCCTCTCTCAGCCCCTGGGGCACGCAATGGGTCCCCTGCACCTGCCCATGAGCCAACTGCTGGCAGGTGGTTTTAGGTGATGACATGGGTGTCGGGGTTCGCTGGTGCTGGGCCCTGCATTTGGAAGAAGTAGGTGTGATCCATTAAAGCTGTTGGTGAGTGACCCAGAGCGGCCAGGGGCAGTGAGCCCTGAAACGCTGCCCCACGAGGGCTCCTCGGTCGGGTGCCTGGCCCAGAGGCGGCCTGGAGAAGCCCGGGAGAGGGAGGGTCTGACCCAAGGCGGGATCTGGGGCTACAGGCGGGCTGGCGGGGCAGCTGGGACCGCCGACAGGAGAGGCTCCTCACCAGGAGCTGGTAGCAGGGGCCAGGCCCATCGGGGTCACTCACACAGGGCCGAATCCCGCCGTGGGAAGGGGCCACTGTCGGCTCATCACTGGCTCACCCTAGTCCCCAAATGGAGGGGGGTCCACATCGTTCTGTCATCGTTCTTCGACCAAACGCAGCAGTGCACGGTCGGCACCGATGCTGCATGGCCTGTAGGACGCTCCTCGTGGGAAGGTGCTTTTAAAGATGGTAAGGGGAGGCACTGGGTCCAGGGGTCTCCAATGTGAACTCATGGACACCGCCCGCTGAGTCCAGCCAAGAGCCAGGGGGGCCACGCTGAGGGTGGGCGGGGTGGCAGGCCCCGGTGTGGGCACGGGACCTGGGGGGTCCGGGATGTGGAGGAGACCGTGGGGACAAAGAAGGGAGGGCTCACTCAGGAGGATGGTGGCCCTAAAAAAGGTCCCAGGTCACAGGGGGGCACCATCGCATCCTACAGCTGAAGAGCATGTCAACGGAACCAAGGACGGACCCAGAGTGGGAGGAGACGCCTGGTCCAACTGAGGCACAGGAAACCATCTGTGCCGTGGTCTCGTCATCCCCACGCGTTGCTGCGGCACTTGACCCCTGCTGGGCTCTTGCAGGAACCCACCTTGGGCAGAAAGGTTCCCTGGGTGTGTGGAGCAGGCGCGGTGCTCACGGGAGACCCAGAGCTGCTTGCCTCCTGTGCTTCCCGAGGCGCCCACACTGGCCCGGCCTCGCCAGCCCTGATGCACCCAGTCCTCACCGCCACCCCCAGGGAACCCACCTCCCTTCCTCCTGCCACGGGACAGCGCTAGCTCCTGGCCCGGTCCCCCATTCCCGTGGGTCCCCCAGGACTCAGCACTCACCCCTCGCTCCCGGGCTGCCGGCCTGCACGTCCCCTGGCTCATGAATGTTTGTGCGTTAAGTTGGGCAGCAGGTGGGAGAGGACCGCCCTGCTGCAGCACAAGGACCAACAGCAGCCCTGAATCCCAGGACTGATGTGCTGCTCATCACAGCACAGCTCCCGTTCCGTACCCAGCAGCTCAACATCCTCTCGGATGTGCAAGCGACATGCCGAGTTCCAGCCACGTAGAGTGGCGCTGTCCCGTGTCTGGGCCCAGGGATGTGACCAGCAGCTGGGAAGCTGCGGGTGGTCCTGACCTGGGCTCCTGGCCATCAGTGGATGTCCTGCTCACCACACGTGCAGGATACTCAGCCTGCCAGCCCTGCCCTGATGCACCACCCACGGCAAGATCCTGGGACCCTCACCTGCTGCTGTCCACCCGCCAAGCCGGGCCTCGGCCTTCAGCCCACACCTGCCATGGCACAGCTGGCTGTTCCCTCATCTGAGCAGGGCCTTGAGGATCAGCGTGGACTCCTGTCCCGCCCTCCAGGGCCACAGTCCACATCCTCCTCCTTGAAACCCACCAGGGCCAGGGGGTCTAGCTGTGAAGCACCCGTTTTTGAAAGCTGTGCTACAGGGGCGCCTGGGTGGCTCAGTCATTAAGCGTCTGCCTTCGGCTCAGGTCATGATCCCAGGGTCCCGGGATCAAGCCCCGCATCGGGCTCCCTGCTCCGCGGGAAGCCTGCTTCTCCCTCTCCCACTCCCCCTGCTTGTGTTCCCTCTCTCGCTGTCTCTGTCAAATAAATAAATAAAATCTTAAAAAAAAAAAAAAAAGAGGTGTGTTACATTCGGTAAGGCGCGGCCTCTCCTGCAGCGAACGTGGTTTCCACTTGAGCTCGCTTTCTACACGAAAATCAGTGTCCCCTTCCTCACGTGCACCTTTCCCTCCGAGATGCTGAACACCCTACGCCCCTGCTCCTGGACACAGTGCCCTCAGCAACAAAGTGAAAGATCAAACCAAAGGCCCACATTCACACGGTCAGCCAGACTCTGGCCAACACAGGCCCTTCCTCATACACCCAGGCCCCCAGTCCCTCTGCGCCCCGCTCCTCGGCGCCCCTCACCGCGCGGCCCCGGGGCAGGTGCATCCGTGCAGCAGGGGCCCCACCTGCGCTGTCCTTCATAGACACACGCACCCCACGGGTGGGGTCCGTGCGCCCAGGACTGCCCACTCGCCGTGGGGCCACACCCGTGAATCTTGGAGACCCCAGCTTTCCGGGCACACCCGCCTCCGCCACTACCCGCCACCCCCCTCCACAAGCAAGTGCCCCGTTACCATCTCCTGCGCCACACCGTCAGGCGTCTCCTTCTCCAGGTCAAAGGTGAACTCTATGGCCCCATTGTCCTTGGGCTTGCCCTTCAGTTTCTTGGGGTCCTCAACCCAGAGCCGCAGGGCGATGGTAGACTTCCTGCCGTGGTCCTCCTCCGCCAGTTCCACCCTCACGCCCGTGTCCTCTGCGAAGAAGGCGTGGCTGAGCAGGTCCTTGATCTCGTACCTGAGAAGGGGCAGCCAACGGGACGGTGAGGGCATGGCTGCTGGCCCCAGACAGAGGCCCAGCTCCCTCTAGAAGGTCCTCCAACTACTGCAGTGGGCAGCGCGGTCCTCGAGGGCAGCACACAACAGTGCACTCCCAGGGTGAAGGGAGACTGACGCCTGCTGCACGGCACCAAAGGCTGCTTCTTTCTCTCCTTATAGAAAGGAAACATCCCCGTTGCAAGAGGCTCCGGGAAGTGAAGTTTCCAAACCTGGCTCCGCACCCTGCAGACAGGCCTGTGGAGGCGCCGAGTTCCCAGGGGTCACAGCTGAGGCTGAGCCCCGGAGCGCTGGGCGTCCTGGCTGCTGGGTGTTGTCATAGTAACCACGCCCCATCCCTAAACAGGAGCTTGGTCCGGGTGCTGTCCTGGGCCCGGCTTCCTCCCAGCGTCCTGTCTGTCGGGCGGCCCCTCCCTGAATCCTGCGTCCTGTGGACAGGGGGAGCCCACGCCCTGTGGACGCTCAGCACCCAGGAAAGGGCGAGCAGACACATGCCTGAGGGGGCCCCTGGGGAGCAGAGGTCGTGGCCCCTGCCGGTCCTGGTCTGGAAGGTGGTCTTGTGGGGTCTGCTCCGAGGGGTCTTTAGCCCTACATGGTTGTTTCTATACTTCTCTGACGGGACTTCTACCTCACGATTCCTCAGTTCTTTTCTCTGAAAGAACAGAACACGGTAACCCACAGGGGGCAGGGGAGAGAGCCCAAGGATCAGAAGGGGGCGCCGGCTTGAGAGGCGATGGCCATGGACAAGAACACGGGTCAAGGGTGAGGACAGGGACAGAATGGCCCTGTGCTGGGTGCACGGGGGGTGCACGACGGGGCAGGGAAGAGGTGTAGGGGGAGAGGAGGGGAGGGACAGGGGATGAGATGAGGGAAGGGCAGGGGAAGATGAAGTGGGAGGAGAGGAAGGGAGAGAGAGGGCGAGGGGGCGGGTGACGGAGTGAGGAAGGACGGGGAGGGGGAGGGGAGGGAGGGGAGGAAGAGACAGGGGGAGGGGAGGGAGGGGGAGGGGAGGAGGAGGAAGAGACAGGAGGAGGGGAGGGAGGGGGAGAGGGGGTGGGAGGCTTCCTGGCTGACCAGCTGACGAGGTGGGGGCTGGTGCAGGGGCAGCTCAAGGGCTGACCTGGGGGCTTTGGGCTGAGCATGGGTGCATGGGCCTCACGGTCTGGAGGTGACAGGAGGGGCAGGCTGAGGGCACGGGGGCGCCCCTGCTGCAGCCTGGGTGGGTGAGAAGCCCCTGGCAGAGCGGGGAAGCTCCGGGACGGCCCCCAGACCAGGGAGCGTGCTCCGGGCAGCAGAGGTGGGACCCTGGCCTGAAGCAGCCCATCTGCCATGAGCGCGGGCAGGTGCGGGGATCTCAGCGTGAGCGACACCCAGACCCAGCGCCCCACCGGACTCACCTTTCCTCCTTGTTTTTGCAGATGCACTCCCCAATAATCTCCTTGATTTCGGGATCGTGCACTTTCTCAAAGCTGGCAGGCTTGATGCCCTGCGAGACCAGAGGAGCAAAGTCAGAGTCAGGACAGGACCTGTTTCCCGCTCAGCTGCACTAGCCAGGCAGGGGGAAGGCAGGAGGGGCACAAGATGGCTGGGGACGCGGCTCATGCCGAGCGCGGAGGGGCTGTTGGGAGCAGTGGGGTCCCCCCGCCAAGAGGAGCGTTCCCACACCCAGCACAGACGCGGCAGGTGGCCAGGACGACCACCTTCCTCACCACACCCTCCTGCGAGGGTGCCGAGCCCGGTGCTGGCCGAGGCCACCAGACACTCTGCCCCACTGTGGCCACGGGCAGGGCTGCCTTCCAAGGCCTGCTGGCTCCAGGGTTTTGTAAGCGTCTGTGCCATGGAGTCTCACAGCCGGGTGGTTTCGGGAGCATCCACACTGACCACAGACCCAGTGGGTGCCGGCAGGGCTGGCCGCAGCTTGGCCAGTGATGGCCATGACACAGGGGAGCAGAACCCCGGGGTACAGCCCTGCAGACAGTGGGGACTCGGGAGCAGCAGGGGCTGGACTGCAGGGGCAGGGGCTTGGGGGAGGGACAACGGATTCTTAACCATTTTAAACACACGGAGGACCTCAATTATCCCGTTCTTCAGCAAGACTCTGCCTTCAAAGTCTCATCTTGGCTGTTCTAACGTAGAGAACATGAGCGGGAGTCCAGGGCAGCCTCCAGCCCAGAGGTAGACCCAGGAGTGTAGGACCCCCAGGGGCTCCTGCCGCCAGGCAGGGTGCTGTGCCCAGGCCCATTACCAGTGGGGGTCATGTTGTACGCGCGCAGCAGAGTCTGCAGCAACAGACTGGGACAGTGGGCTCCAGGCACGGGCCAAGGGGCTCCCCTCGGAGATGAGAACCCCAGGCCATACCACTGAAGCCAACAGAAAAAGAGGTTTAATTACACAGGAGGAAGGGCCAGAGTCCCAGCGGGAGGCAGGCAGCCTGAGAAACTCTAAGGGCAGCTAAGTGTGGGCCACACACACCTCTGAAGGGCTGAGGCCCCCAGAACAGGAGAAGAACATGCAAAAGGAACAGGTACTGTTTTGAAGGGGCTCGTGTCCCCAGACTCAGAAGCATGGAGTCGGGGTGCTGGAAGCGGGGACACCAAATCCTTGCAGGACCGGAGGTCAGGGCGGACGCCGGGACTGGACCAGTGTGGGTGTGTGTGCCGCGAGGGGCCAGTGGGCCCACAGGGCGTTACTGCAAACCATACCAGCCGTCAGGGAACACCCCTCCCGTCCGGTTTCCTCGGGGAGCAAGGGTGGGTCCTGGCCTTGCTTTGCCCAAGCTGACATGGGTCCACACAGGAGCCCTGCTTCCTGGGGCCTCAACGAGGGATCCAGGGTGGCTGAGGAACACCCCAGTGGGAATCAGTCCTGTCTCCCCAGCCCAGTGGACAGACCACAGCCCCGTCCACGTGGGCACCCAAGAAGTAGGGCTGGCGTGCTTCTCCCCCGCACCCCTCCAAGGCCTGGGAGTGAGGCCCTAGCCTCAGGTGACCCCTGCCCCATGGAGGGCCACTGCCCACAGCCAACAAGCCCACCCTCTCCTGCATTAGCGGGGAACTGCACGCCTCCCTCTGTCTCTGACAAGCACCAACCAAAAACCCTGCCTTCCCCCCTCAGCAGCACACAGGAGGGGCTCAAATAACTGAATTAAGACTGAAGGAGAGAAATGAGCTAAGACCTGTGGGCGAGCGCAGGGTGGAGGGTGGGACGAGGGAAGGTGCCCCGGGCTGCCAAGAACCACGCTCTTCATGCATCTGCAGAAGTGAGGCGGGCACCAGGCTGAGGCGAGGCAGCTAGGACTCAGCGGTTGTGGGGCCTGGTGCCCAGAAATCTACAGCCTCACCTGGCAGGACAGCCGTGGAGGGAGGACAGGGTGATCGGCTTGCAGAGCCGAAGCCACCTGATTAAAGCAGACAACTGCGTGGGCACACACCAGGACACGGGAAGGCCAGCGGCCCAGAGGAGGGGCTCTGGGGAGAGGCAGCCGGGCGCCTCCTGCAGAGGCCTCGAGTTGTGCACGAGGCCCACCGCCCCCACACTACCACTACAGCCACGCCTGTCCACCACCAGCTCAGAGACCTGAGCAGCCACCCCGCTGAGTGAGACAGCCTCAGTTTCCCCTCTGTGACAGCATCCTTCCCTTCCTCACACGGTGCTGTGAGCGTTTCAGCAAGCACGGCCCCTCATGGTGGCCAGTGGACTCACACAGGTGACCTTCCGGTAGATCTGGGCAGCGTTCTGGCACTCGGAGTAGGGGTACTCGGAGGTAGCCATCTCCAGCATGCACATCCCAAAGGCATAGACGTCCACGGACTCATCGTAATGCTCCTCGTACATCTCAGGCGCCATGAACTCAGGGGTACCTGTGCCCGGGAGCAACGGACGCAGGGTCAGCAGTCACTGGGCCGGGGAGCCCCTCCCCATCAGGCCCGGAACCTGCAGTTCTAACAGGACTGCTCTGCAGACAGTTCCCCCCCCGGACCCTCCCGATTCTAGGTCACATCAGCTCACGGCACCAGGCGCCCCCACAGCTCCAAGCCTGTTACTCCAGAGCCAGGGCACACTCTGTGCCCCGAACACGGGAGGCGCCACACACCGAGAAGCATACCCCTCCAGGCCACAGGCCCGACCGCCCGCGGCAGACAGACACTCACAGTCCCCACAGAGCAACCTAAATCGCAAAATCCCACAAAGGCCCCAGATGTCCCCAGACAGACACCACATGGCAGTGTGTCAGGCAGCACAGAAAGGAGCATCTCTGCTGAAGGTGCCGGCCAGGTGCCCGCAAGGTGTTCCCGGCACAGGCGGTTCCAAAATGACGCCTCCTCGGAGTTTAACACATGGAGTAAAACAAAGTATTCGGCTGTTCGTGCACAATGACCTCTCCACAAACAGCAAGCACAGACCCAGGAGGACACGTCAGGGAGGTGGGGTTCCAGCTGATTTTTCCTTTAGTTACACTGGTCTGGGGATTTTTATTTTTCCGTAACAAGCTTCTGCTTTAAAAATCACAAAATCCTCCTATTAAAACAGGTCCAACCGAGTGCCTGTCCAGCCCAACACAAAGCAGAGGGAAACATCGGGAACGTCTCCACCTTCTCGGCTTCCTCCACCTCAACCCTTTCCCGTTTCTTTAAAAAGCAGATGCAGAACAGCACCGGCTGTGTTCAAAAGCATGTGTTCACATGTTTTCATGGCTCTGGGATGCAGAGAGGCGACAGGACATTTCAACCTGTTCTCATGCACCCACAGTTTCAATGTAACCGCTATTACACGTTTAACGAAAAAAGTAAACATTTTGGGTAAGAAATGGCAAAATCGAGAATCTATCTTCAGGTCTACATGTGTGTATAAAAAATTCTAGGAGATTCTGGGGGCGCCTTGGGGGGGCTCAGCACGTTGAGCATCTGCCTTCGGCTCAGGTCATGATCCCAGAGTCCTCGGACTGAGCCCCGCGTCGGGCTCCCTGCTCAGAGGGAAGCCTGCTTCTCCCTCTGCCTTTGCCCCCGGCTCATGTTCGCTCTCTCTCAAATAAAATCTTAAAAAAAAAAAAAAAAAATTCCAGGAGATTCCAAATCAGAAATAACGGGAACAGGGTGGAGGAGAGAGCAGGAGTCTGAGGGACCTTGCACTGGGAATATCTCCATCTTTTTGGGGGTTCTGAACCACAGGACTGCTGGCAATGATTTGCACGTGGCTGTGGGCATCCACAGGGGAGGAGGGAGGCCGGCTGAGCTGCCCCAAAGCCCCACAGAGCCTGCCTTTCGGGGCCGGGGCACAGGAGGTGGGGGTGCAGGGGCGGGGGCCAGCTCCGAGCAGGGCTGGGGATGCCCACATGCACTTGGGCCACGGACACAAAACTTTTTTCTCTTTCCTCACTCTGCATCCACTTAAATCTGAGTGTTAAAAAGAACACGTGTGTGCTCGCACACCCACACACGTGTGTGCCCGGGGCACCTCCCTGGCCCCCCGGCCCCACATTGCAGGTGTCCCGGCCACCACGGCTATGAACGCCTGCAGGCAGCACCAGCTGAGGACCTGGCCAACGCAGACACAGGGAGAGCGTGGGGACACCATCAGAGGCAGGTGGCTCTCAGGGACGAACCCCACAAGGGGCCTATGACCCACAGCTGTGTGTGCACACGGCATCAAGCGGCTGTGGCCACAGGGCTTATGATGAGGACACCTTCTCACCCAATCCATCCCCCTCCTTCCCATCAGCCGACACACAGCCCCCAGGCCTGGTGCCACAGGGCTCCCCCAAAGCAGGTGGAGAGGTCCTCAGACACCGCCACCCAACGTCCAACATCCAACATGGGCCGCATCTGAAGTACAAACCCAAACACAGGCACAAACCCCCAACAGCTTTGCCCAGAAGTGGATCCTCAGCATCAACGGTCCCTGAAGGTACCCTGGACACAGCACAGAGCAGGGAGCCTGACTCACAGGCTTGGGGGACCCTCCCCCCACCTGACCGAAGGTCCCCCACCCAGCTGCTGGCCCTTTGCTGCCCAGGGCCCAGGAAAATGTGTTAATCGCCTCTCATCCTCCATGAGTTTGGAGCTTCCCCCAGCTGAGCAAAAGCTGAAGTGACCAGGGACCCCACAGACCTGGGCCCCCTGTGCTGGGCTTGGGGCTGATGCACCTGCTGGAAACGCCCAGCCTTCACATCACTCCATCAGACCACCCAGCCTGTGTCCAGTACCCTGACACCCCACGTCCAAGAGGGACAGAGCCACCAGCCGGAGAAAGCCCAGGGAGCTTCAGCAGGTACCCCACCCCCAAGGTCAGACCTATGAATCCTGCTCGGAAATTGCCAGGTGATCAGAGATGTGCTCCCTCCAGCCAGGCCCCTGCCCATTTCACGGACAGAGAAACCGAGGCCTACGTCGGCCACCGCCCCACCACTCAACTCCCCAGAGCTACCAGAGGCCCCTGTCCACAGGGCACCCCTGACAGCCACCCTGCCCCAGATGTCACATTCCAAACCCACTAACCCCGCCAGAGAAGTTTCCAGATTCCCAGCGGTTTCATCTGCCACAAGTTCTGTCCCCAAATGTGCATCAAAACCATGGGATTGCAAAACCCTGACATCACCCTCTCGTCCTGCTTGTGTCCCCACACACGGCTTCATTGGGCACGGGAGCCTCTCCAGGTCCCACCCGACCCCCGCTGATCGGATCAGGATTTCTGGAGTTACACCTTGGAGCGGGCTGGCCCTGCAGCAGGCTGGCACTCCCCAGACGTCTCGAACCCCATCAACAGCCGCCCCAAAGCCCTTGCAAGCGCTCTCTCTGCAAAGCCCTGGAGAGGCCCTGCCCAGCGCCTGCCGCGTGCTGGGACCCCAGTGCAGCCCCAGTTCCTGCGTGGAGCTGAGGACGGGGGCCTCACCCAGAAAGGCCACGGGGCCCTCTCGGAAGAGGACAAGAAACACAGGAAGACAAGGTGAGCAAACCAGCACCCACACCAAATCCCCATGCTGGCTCTGGGCCCCACAGCCCCCAGGGACTCCCTGCGGTGGGCCTCAGGGCCTGGAGCAGCCGCCTCTCTGCCTGCTCCAGACTCACTGGCCACAAACCCCGAGTCCCTCTGTCATCGAGGCCTCCTTCCCGCTGAGTGTCCACCACCCGCGGGCCCCAGCAGCCTCACCCCCCGACCCACACAGCAAGGGACCCCCAGGCGGGGCCCCGGGGCAAGGGCTTACCGATCACACTCTTGGCAAAGGACGCTCTCTTGAGAGTGGCCAGGCCCAAGTCGCCGATCTTCACGGAGCCGGTGGGCCCTGTGATGAAGATGTTGTCGCACTTGAGGTCCCGGTGGATGATGGGGGGCGTCCTGGTGTGCAGGAAGAGCAACCCCTTCAGGATCTGCCGGCACCAGCTGCGGAGCACCTTGGGCTTCATCACCTTGAACCGCTTCAGGTACCTGCGGGTGGGGGCGCGGCTCACCAGTGGCTCCCGCTACCGGGGGGCCGTGGAGTCACCACCCAGTTAGAGACACTCCTGAGACAGGCCCTGGCAGACGGGAGGCCCGGCGTCCCTGCCTCCGCGGCCCCTGCGCCTGGACCCGGCCCGCCCCAGGGTCCAGCCAGCAGGCGGGGGCGTGCTCACGTCTTCAGTGTCCCCGAGGTCATCAGCTCGGTCACCAGCACGATGCACCTCTTGCCCCTGGCGCTGGACTCCCAGAAGTCATAGAACCGCACAATGTTGGGGTGCTGCAGGCCCTTGAGCATCTCGGCCTCCTCCTTGAACCGCTGCCTCTCCAGCTTGGTGAGTTTCCGGTCCTGGAGAAAGACACAGGCTGAGGGGCAGACGCCCTCCACGGAGCCAGGGAGCCCAGGCGGGAACCCACCGGCCACCCCTGCGGCTCCATGTGTAAGGACACAGCAGAGGGAGAGGACCGAGCGTCCGGGGCCGCAAGGGGTTTGGCCCAGTCCCTCTGTGGCGTCCTCCCACACCCGACCCCACAGCCCCGTGGCCCTGGATGAGCCCCTGCACCGGGACCTCAGCAGAAAGATCTCTGGGAGCCAGAGACAGCTGAAAACCCACACGGCAGCACTCACACACTCTCCCCGAAAAAACACCTCCAAGGCCTCACGTCCTCAACACCCGCTTTGAGTGCTATCAACAAGAAAGACATTGGTTCAATTCCAGTTTACACGCAACTCCGAGGACACGTTCACGACCAGAGCAGATGGGAACCAGAAAACCAGGGAACCCGACGGGAGACCAGGGTCCCCGCCAGGCCCTGCAGTGCTGGAGAGCACGGCAGACATGCCTCCTGGGTCTGCAGCTGACCCCAACCGCAAGTTCACACAGGACATGGCACCACCACCATCTGGGTGCTGAGAGTCCCTGTGGGGGGCCGCCCACACGAGGCTCCAGCCACACTCCACAAGGAAGACCACCAACACCCTCCCCATACTCGAACCCCACCCTCAGCGCCCTCCCCGCACGCCCTGCTCCCACCTGCCACCACCCAGCCCTACCGGTTGGGCCGCACCTGCAGCCTGCGTGGCCCTCCCAGACACCCTCCAGGTGGCTCTCAACACAGAGCACTCAGAACCACCCCAGAGCTCTGTCGTTTCCAGCCTCGTCCCACAGGGAGCCACACCTCTGCAGGACCCAGGGTGGCCGTCTCCCCACACCTGCGCCTCCCACCAGCCCTGCCCCCACAAACCCTCATCAGCCTCTTGCTGCGCGAGTGGGGCCTGGCAGAGCAAGGAGATACCAGGAAAACCGTCGTACGGCTGACCCCAGAAAAACACAGAATTCAGGGACAGAGGCAACTTCAAAAAATCTAGTTCATGTGCTCACGGGAATCGAGGAGGCCGACACACATTAAGTAAGAGCAAGACTACTTAAAAAGGAACAGTCAAGGGGTACCTGGGTGGTTCAGTCGGCTGAGCGTCCGACTCTTGATTTCGGCTCAGGTCATGATCTCAGGGTCGTGAGAATGTCAGGCTCTGCGCTTGGTGGGGAGTCTGCTGGAGATTCTCTCCCCTGCCCCTCCCCCCGTTTGTGCTCTAAATAAATAAACAAAATCTTTTTTTAAAAAAGAGGAACAATCAAGAAAGTGCTCTTGGGGGGCCCCTGGGTGGCTCAATCGTTAAGCGTCTGCCTTCGGCTCAGGTCATGATCCCAGGGTCCTGGGATTGAGCCCTGCTTCGGGCTCCCTGCTCAGCGGGAAGCCTGCTTCTCCCTCTCCCACTCC